CCTCTGCAACTGGATCCTGGACTTCCTGACGGGCCACCCCCAGGTGATAAGGATAGGCAACAACACATCTGCTACGCTGATCCTCAACACTGGGGCCCCTCAGGGGTGCGTGCTTAGTCCCCTCCTGTACTCCCTGTTCACCTACAACTGCGTGGCCAAGCACGACTCCAACACCATTAAGTTTGCTGACGACACAACAGTGGTAGGCCTGATCACCGACAACGATGAGACAACCTATAGGGAGGAGGTCAGAGACCTGGCAGTGTGGTGCCAGGACAATAACCTCTCCCTCAATGTGAGCAAGACAAAGGAGCTGATCGTGGACTATAGGGAAAGGAGGGCCGAACAGGCCTTCATTAACATCGACGGGGCTGAAGTGTAGCGGGTCGAGAGTTTCATGTTCCTTGGTGTCCACATCACCAACAAACTATCATGGTCCAAACACACCAAGACAGTTGTGAAGAGGGCACGACAAAACCTTTTCCCCGTCAGGAGACTGAAAATATTTGGCATGGGTCCCCAGATCCTCAAAAGGTTCTACAGCTGCACCATCGAGAGCATCCTGACCGGTTGCATCACCGCCTGGTATGGCAACTGCTCGGCATCTGACCGTAAGGCACTACAGAGGGTAGTGCGTACGGCCCAGTACATCACTGGGGCCAAGCTTCCTGACATCCAGGACCTATATACTAAGTGGTGTCAGAAGAAGGCCCAAATAATTGTCAAACACTCCAGTCACCCAAGTCATAGACTGTTCTTCCTGCTACCGCACGGCAAGCGATACCAGAGCGCCAAGTCTAGGACCAAAAGGCTCCTTAACAGCTTCTACCCCCAAGCCATAAGACTGCTGAGCAATTAATCAAATGGCCACCTGGACTATTTACATTGAGCCCCCCCCCCCCCCCGCTGTTTATTATCTATGCATAGTCTCTTTACAAATGACCTGGACTAACCTGTACCCCCGCACATTGACTCGGTACCGGTACCCCCTGTATATAGCCTCGTTATTATGTAAATTGATTGTGTTACTTTTTGATTTAATTAAATGTTTACTTTAGTTTCTTTAGTAAATATTTTCTTAACTCTATTTCTTGAACTGCATTGCTGGTTAAGGGCTTGTAAGTAAGCATTTCACGGTAAGGTTGTATTCGGCGCATGTAACAAATACAAAGTGTTTAGAGCCTGTTTCTTTCACACCTATTCCTAACTTAAGGGGCCAAGACAAATGCCCTGCTGGGCAGTGGTACCCAGGCGCTAATGTGTCTCTCTCTTCATTGAATGAATACTGTCAATGGATAAATGGGAGATAAACTGATAATCGTGCATGTTGTGGGAATAGTTACATGTCCCCCTCCTTAAGGGGGCGCAAGGTGACCGAGTAGATAAATACTGTGTTGAAGCCAGTTAAATTCATTCATGTTTCCTACTACCTCTGGTGTCCGTGTCCCCTCACTTCATAACTTAACATGGTATCAGAAGTGGTCAACAACCACCATGCTTGCAACTCAGAGACTCTAAAGAAGTAGTCAGGTTTTATTATGTAACGTTTCAAATGAAAAAGTAGACATGCGAACGAGTTTTACAGCCATTTTCGTTAACGTTCTCAGCTAACTAGCTAGCTACATTAAGAACAGTGCTAGCTAACAACTGGCAGAAGCTAGCTAGTTAAAGACCACATGTCGGGAACCATAGCAAGATAACAATCAGAACGCAGAACCAGCATCAGCTATCATCCACAAAGCAGAAGCAGCGCACGATAACGAGAACGAGATGGCAGAAAAAGTATTATTCCAAATACTGTATCTCCCCCATCTGAATTCAACTTCATTCACCCAGACGAATGGCCACAGTGGTTCACCTGCTTCCAACGTTTCAGACAGGCATCTGGCTTGGACAAGAAGCCGCAAGACAGGCAAGTGAACACGTTGCTATATTCAATGGGCGGAGAGGCCGAGGCTATAGTATGCTCCAGAAATCTGATTCTGATGAGCTAATGATTTATGACACTGTTACAGCAGTGCTAAACAGCCACTTGGTGCGAAAACAGAATTTGATTTTTGAAAGAGCCAGATTGAATAAACACATTCAGGAAAGTTGGGAATCAGTGGATGAGTTCATCATTGCTTTGCATGAGCTCAGTGAACATTGTGATTATGGACAATTATGTGATGATCTAATAATGGACAGATTAGGTCTTCGTGACAGAGCCCTATCAGAACAAGTGCAGACCATGGCCCGTCAAAAATAAATATAAGGAACAACAATCCTTACTCAGTGATGACGGCGAACAAAGACAAATGGTAGAGGCCATGGCAAACACAAAGTCGCCTTTCCAACACTCTGGGAGACCAAGATACACAAACACTGCTAGTGAACCAAACAGGGCTACACAGAGAAGTGACACACAGTGGAGACACACAAAACCATGTTCATTGTGTAGAAAGGGCCCCCATAACAGAGGAGTTTACCCAACCAAATACGCTATCTTCAGAAATTGTAAAAAGGAAGGACCCCTATGTAACCGTCTGCAGATCATAAACAGCAGTGTAGTCAGTGTAGTCCCCTGTAGCTCAGTTGGTAGAGCATGGCGCTTGCAATGCCAGGGTTGTGGGTTCGTTTCCCACGGGGGGCCAGTATGAAAATGTATGCACTCACTAACTGTAAGTCGCTCTGGATAAGAGCGTCTGCTAAAATGACTAAAATGTAAAATGTAACTCCTAGAGCAGGGTTCTTCAATTCCGGTCCTGGAGGGCAGAAACACTTCTGTTTTTTATTTCTACCTGGTAGTTAATTGCACTCACCTGGTATCCCAGGTCTGAATTAGCCCCTGATTAGAAGGAGAGGATGAAAAACAGAGGTGTTTCGGCCCTCCGGGACCGGAATTGAAGAACCCTGTCCTAGAGGAAGAGGAGTCTGAAAATTGATTTCTTGGCTCTATCGGGACGGATACAGACCAGCCATGGGTAACTACACTCAGTCTGTTTAATCAACAGGTCAAATTCGAAATTAACACAGGCGCAGATGGCACAGTCATTCCAGAGACCTTATACCAACAGCTGACAAAAGACTCACTGCAGCACACACCTAAAGTCCTTCAAGGCATGCTAGCAGACACCCATAGACTTCCCGTCATTTCGCTAACGCTAGTTAGCATTGGCTCACAAAACTACCTTTCTGTCGGAGCTACACGTGCTGCCTAGCATTGAACACAAGCTGAAAGACGTCAACATCTTTTCCCTTTGTCAAAAGACACTAAAAAACGTATCGCGTTCATCACCCCCTTCGGCCGATACTGCTTTCAGAGGCTCCCGTTTGGAATCTCATCTGCCCCAGAACATTTCCAGTGCAGAATGTCACAACTGCCGGGGGGGCTTGAAGGAGTCGTCTGCCAAATGGATGATGTCCTTGTGTACGGGGCAACTCAGGATAAACACAACAACCGGCTGTTTGCTGTTCTCCAGCGCCTTGAACAGGCAGGACTGATGCTGAATGCAAAATATGAGTTCTCCAAACAAGGTAAATACCTGAGCCAGAACATCGATGGGAGTGGTATTCGAGCTGACCCAGCCAAGGTCAAAGGCCACAGCAGCTGCACAAATGCCAGTACCAACAAATGTGAGCGAGGTCTGTAGAGTCATGGGTATAGTCAACCACCTGGGGAATACATCCCTCACAGAGATGTCCAGACCACTCAGAGAGCTATTGAACAAGAACAGCACATGGCCTTGTGGTCCCCAGCAAGTGCAGGCATTTAATGACATTAAAAGTGCCCTCACAACTCCTCCTGGATTAGCCGTCTACGATCCTACAGCAGACACCAAGGTGTCTGCTGATGCCTCCTCCTACGACCTATGAGCCATTTTGCTACTGAAGAAAAGCGACACAGACTGGCGTCCCATCACGTACGCTTCCCGGGTCCTGTCTAACGTGGAACGTCGCTACACTCAGATCGAAAAAGAAGCTGTTGCTACTACATGTGCTTGTGAGGTCTTCAGAGACTTTCGTAAAGGCCTCACATTTCAAGTTGACACTGACCATGAGTCCCTCCTAGCGCTGCTTGGCTCATAGCGGCTCGACAAACTCCCACCAAGGATCCAACGCTTCAGAATGAGACTCCATTGCTCATGTGCCTGGTAAGAGGTTGGTTACAGCTGACAGTCTGTCCAGAGCACCAGCGCTCCAGAACCCTTCAACAGGGAACCAGAGCAACCAATCTGAGGAACAGCTAATTGAAGGGCATGTGCACGCTGTCCTCTCCGCTGAAGGCAGGCCCCAGAGACCCTCATCCCAAGTCCGACACCAGAGGGCCCTTGGCAAAAGCTAGGGGCTGACCTTTTTACCTCGACAACTACACCTACCTTGTTGTCTTTGACTATTTTTCTAGATTCATGGAGGTGGCAAAAATGACCTCAACAACATCTAGCGCAGTGGTAGAGAGGATGAAGTCATGATTCGCTCATAGCGGGGTCCCTCTTCATCTAATCTCAGACAATAGCCCCCAGTTTGCCTTTGAGACTTTCAAAACATCTGCAGACACCTGGGGATTCACACACAACTTCAAGCCTGTTGTTTCCCCAAAGCAATGCTGCAGCTGAACAAGCTTTACAGACTGTCAAACAGCTCCTTCGTAAATCCTCAGACCACGACATGGTGCTCTTAGCATACAGATCAACCCCCCCTCTCCAATGGACTGAGCCCAGCAGAGTTGTTGCAAGGCAGGAAGCTGTGTACAACCATTCCTACTCTGCCCTCACTGTTGACAGGGTGGCTAGCGCTCTCTGAGTTTACAAAGACAGACAATCTAAGCTCAGCCAAAAGAAACACTTCGACAGCTGACTTCGAGCAAAGGCCCTCAGCTCTCTACGCCCAGGAGATACAATATGGATACAGGACTCCCGGGACGAAGGCATAGTGCAAGGACACGCAAACATACCTCGCTCCATCCTAGTAAACACTCATGGCCAGACCGCAGACACCTCACCCTGGCCCAACCAGAAACTATGCCACCACAGCTGCACTCTACTGGCCACCACAGCATCTCTGACTCTGGCTCCAAGGAGCCTCCCCAGCTCAGACAGAGCCCTCCATTACCTCTCCACAACCTTCCCCCTCTCGACCGTACCCTTTGAGGACTAGGTTCCCACCCACTTACCTTAAGGGAGATGTGGGAGTAGTTACATGTCCCCCTCCTTAAGGGGCGCAAGGTGACCGAGTTGATAAATACTGTGTTGAAGCCAGATAAAGTCATTCATGTTTCCTACTAACTCTGGTGTCCGTGTCCTCTCACTTCATAACTTAACACACATTATTTTACAATTACAATTGGTGTTACTATGATAGAGCAAGAGGCAATGATATTTGCCAGAAAATTATCAATGTCCATAATATCTAACAAGCGAAGTGAGAGTAGGGAAAGGAAAAGAAACGAAGATGTGCATTCTTACTGAATATGGTTTTAGCCGGAATGTGGACATGAAGCTGGGGTTAGGGTTAGGTTTAGGATTGAGGTTAGAGTCTTGTCTCAGGGTTTCCGTTAGCTGGCAATTGCCGGCTTTTGGCCAAAAATTTAAAAAAATAAAAACTAATAAATAAAACTTGCCAGCCAAAATTACCACAAGAAAAAAAGAAAAAACATTGCAAAATAATGCTTTTTATTCATTGATGGAAATGCCAATCAATGGAAATACATTTGACCATATTGCTTATCGGTCCATAGGTTAATTTGCATAATTTAGTGGAATTAAATTGGCCTGTGTATATTTTTGTTAGTCATCATATTTATTTATTTTGTGCGTTTTGAAAACATAATTTTTTTTTAAAAACCTGAACGTTTTAATTTCATGTTATGAGGCATGTCTTACCTTGCTTCTACGTAGCCTATAGGCAAAATGTGATTATGGAAACGTGGAGGCAATTATTTTATAAGACTTCATAGGCAGTGCGAGTTTCAAATACAGAAGATAGCCCTATTTGGTAAAAGACCAAGTCCATATTATGGCAAGAACAGCTAAAATAAGCAAAGAGAATCGACAGTCCATCATTACTTTAAGACATGAAGGACAGTAAATACGGAACATTTCAAGAACTTTGAACGTTTCTTCAAGTGCAGTCGCAAAAAACATCAAGCGCTATGATGAAACTGTCTCTCATGAGGACCGCCACAGGAATGGAAGACCCATAGTTACTTCTGCTGTAGAGGATAAGTTCATTAGCGTTACCAGCCTCAGAAATTGCAGCCCAAATAAATGCTTCACAGAGTTCAAGTCACAGACACATCTCAACAAGAACTGTTTAGAGGGGACTGTGTGAATCAGGCCTTCATGGTATAATTTCTGCAAAGAAACCACTACTAAAGGACACCAATAAGAAGAAGAGACCTGCTTGGGCCAAGAAACATGAGCAATGGACATTAGACCGGTGGAAATGTGTCCTTTGGTCTGGAGTCCAAATTTGAGATTTCTGGTTCCAACCGCCACATCTTTGTGAGACATGGTGTGGGTGAACGGATGATCGCTGCATGTGTAGTTCCCACCGTAAAGCATGGAGGAGGAGGTGTTATGGTGTGGGGGTGCTTTGCTGGTGACACTTTCTGTGATTTATTTAGAATTTAAGGCACACTTAACCAGCATGGCTACCACAGCATTCTGCTGCGATACGCCATCCCATCTGGTTTGGGCTTAGTGCGACTCTCGTTTGTTTTTCAACAGGACAATGACCCAACACACCTCCAGGCTGTGTAAGGGCTATTTTACCAAGAGGGAGAGCTGCATCAGATGACCTGGCCTCCACAATCCCCCGACCTCAACCAAATTGAGATGGTTTGGGATGAGTCGGACCACAGAGTGAAGGAAAAGCAGCCAACAAGTGCTCGGCATATGTGGGAACTCCTTCAAGACTGTTGGAAAAGCATTCCAGGTGAAGCTGGTTGAGAGAATGCCAAGAGTGTGCAAAGCTGTCATCAAGGCAAAGGGTGGCTATTTGAAGAATCTCAAATATAGTATATATTTTGATTTGTTTAACACTTTTTTGGTTACTACATGATTCCATATGTGTTATTTCATAGTTTTGATGTCTTCACTATTATTCTACAATGTAGAAAATAGTAAAAATTAAGAAAAATCCTTGAATGAGTAGGTGTGTCCAAACATTTGACTGGTACTGTACATTAGGATGACACTAGACACACACATTTCTAGATCAGGTTGGTAAGAACACACAAGATGCATGTCAATACTTACTGCGGGGTTAAAGACATTTGAGGTATTTTCTCACAGGACAGAACTCCATTCAATACCTTCACAACATGAAGGGAAAATCTCAAATTTATGGCACCAAACTCATTTTTAGAATAATAATTTCAAGCATTAGCCTTACTGTGAAAGTAAACATCAAAATTGCATTTTATGCATTAGGCATAACTTCAAAAGCACACAAAGAGCTCACTGAGCACTGCCCAACATTGACAACAATGGTCACATGAAGCATTTCTGAAATGCAATGATATTTCTGTCGGTTGTGCAGAAGGTCATGCAATTCATGGTTTCTACATACAGTATGATTGTTCAAAGAATTCTGTAATATAAATGTACTTGAAATGCTTCCTGTAGTAGTCCGAGTCATAGGTCCATTTGAGGTTGTGTTTTCAGCTCTACTTGGTATCTGTAAAACTGTACTAATATTTGAATAAAAGTCCATGCACATATCCCATTTGTTAAAATAGAACACTGAAATGCTCTACACCAAACAAAAATATTAGCAACAGTGTGTGAAAACCTTGTGAAGACTTACAGAAAACGTTTGACCTGTGTCATTGCCAACAAAGGGTATATAACAAAGTATTGAGAAACTTTTGTTATTGACCAAATACTTATTTTCCACCATAATTTTCAAATGAATTCATAAAAAATCCTACAATGTGATTTTCTGGATTTTTTTTTCTCATTTTGTCTGTCATAGTTGACGTGTACCTATGATGAAAATTACAGGCCTCTCTCATCTTTTTAAGTGGGAGAACTTGCACAATTGGTGGCTGACTAAATACTTTTTTTCCCCACTGTATAATCTCAGGGACCTCAGCCACCCGAGCCATGGCCTGTTCTCCCTCTTCAATCCCTCAGACACAGGCAGTACAGGAGCATCATGGCAAAAACTGGAAGACCGGCAAATAGTTTCTACCCTCAGACCATCAGGCTGCTGAATAGCCACCACTAGTCAGCTACCTGCTCCCCCTGTCCCCCCTCCTGCCCCCCCGGACTTCACAGTTCAGCGCACAGATTGCTTCCACTGAGAGTGGTTGGATGACTTTGATGTGTGCCTTTGATGTGTGCCTGAACAGCTTGGCATTTCGGGAGAGACGGGAGAGGTTGTGTTTTCTCTAGCAGGAGGTAAGCTTGGCTTCTTATATGGTGTTGAGTAAAGCTTAAACCATGTATTTAGATTGTAGGTAGGTATTGTAGTTAGGTATTATAGGTAGTTTACTCAGGTAGTTATTGTAGGTTATTGTAGGTAATTATTGTAGGTAAGGACTGTATTCGGCGGACCCCGGCGAAGCACGAGGCTAGCTTACCCACTACTTGGACCAACAAAGCTAGCTAGCTAGCTAGCTAGCGGGTAGCTACTGGTAACTTTTAGCAACTGTGGTTAGTTGTTTCCAATGTTATTTCACGCTTTAGAGTACCTGTGATTGAGCCAGCTAGCTGCCACCATTCAGCTGTTTTTCTAACCTCATTATCCGAGGCATTAACGTTAGGTGGTTGGTAGCTGCTGTACTTAATTACAGCTACTGATAACAGTCTGCTGTAGTTTACAACAATTCTAATTTCTAAAGTGGAAGTTGGGAGAGTTTTATTCGGGTGGTTCAGTGAAACAATTATAGTTTCTGAGGTGGAAGTTGGGAGAGTTATATATATTTTTTTTGGTGAGGGAGGCCTGCTCTCTCCTTTCCCAGATGTTTAGTTCATTTCATTCCGATCTCCTCTGCATTATTGTAGCCATCTGCTGCAGCCTGTCAACTATGCCTCTGCCTATCCCTGTTCTCTCCTCTCCGCACAGGCTACACAAACGCCTCACACCGCGTGGCTGCTGCCTCTCTAACCTGGTGGTCCCTGCACGCACCACACACCTGGAGTTCCAGGTCTCAGGCAGCCTCTGGAACTGCCGTTCTGCCGCCAACAAGGCTGACTTCATCCCAGCCTATGCTACCCTCCAGTCCCTCGACTTCCTGGCGCTGACGGAAACATGGATTACCACTGAAAAACACTGCTACTCCTACTGCTCTCTCCTCGTCTGACCATGTGTTCTCGCATACCCCGAGAGCATCTGGTCAGAGGGGTGGTGGCACAGGAATCCTCATCTCTCCCAAGTGGTCATTCTCAATTTTTCCCCTAACCCATCTGTCTATCTCCTCATTTGAATTCCACGCTGTCACAGTCACTAGCCCATTTAAGCTTAATATCCTTGTCATCTATCGCCCTCCAGGTTCCCTTGGAGAGTTCATCAATGAGCTTGACGCCTTGATAAGTTCCTTTCCTGAGGATGGCTCACCCTTCACAATTTTGGGGGATTTCAACCTCCCTACGTCTACATTTGACTCATTTCTCTCTGCCTCCTTCTTTCCACTCCTCTCCTCTTTTGACCTCACCCTCTCACCGTCCCCCCCTACTCACAAGGCAGGCAATACGCTTGACTTCATCTTTACTAGATGTTGCTCTTCTACTAATCTCACTGCAACTCCCCTCCATGTCTCCGACCACTACTTTGTATCCTTTTCTCTCTCGCTCTCCTCCAACACTACTCACTCTGCCCCTACACAGATGGTAACGCGCCGCCGCAACCTTCGCTCTCTCTCTCCCACTACTCTCTCCTCTTCCATCCTATCATCTCTTCCCTCTGCTCAATCCTTCTCCCTCCAATCTCCTGATTCTGCCTCCTCAACCCTCCTCTCCTCCCTTTCTGCATCCTTTGACTCCCTGTGTCCCCTATCCTCCCGGCCGGCTCGGTCCTCCCCTCCAGCTCCGTGGCTTGATGACTCATTGCGAGCTCACAGAACAGAGCTCCGGGCAGCTGAGCGGAAATGGAAGAAAACTAAACTCCCTGCCGACCTGGCATCTTTTCACTCCCTCCTCTCTACATTTTCTTCATCTGTTTCTGCTGCTAAGGCCACTTTCTACCACTCTAAATTCCAAGCATCTGCCTCTAACCCTAGGAAGCTCTTTGCCACATTCTCCTCACTGCTGAATCCCCCCCCCCCCCCCCCCCCCCCCCTCCCTCTCTGTGGATGACTTCGTCAACCACTTTGAAAAGAAGGTTGACGACATCCGATCCTCGTTTGTTAAGTCTAATGACACTGCTGGTCCTGCTCACACTGCCCTACCCTATGCTTTGACTTCTTTCTCCCCTCTCTCTCCAGATAAATCTTGCGACTAGTGACTGCAGGCCGCCCAACAACCTGCCCGCTTGACCCCATCCCCTCCTCTCTTCTCCAGACCATCTCCGGTGACCTTCTCCCCTACCTCACCTCGCTGATCAACTCATCCTTGACCGCTGGCCATGTCCCTTCCGTCTTCAAGAGAGCGAGAGTTGCACCCCTTCTCAAAAAACCAACACTCGATCCCACTGATGTCAACAACTACAGACCAGTATCCCTTCTTTCTTTTCTTTCCAAAACTATTGAGCGTGCCGTCTTTAGCCAACTCTCTTGCTATCTCTCTCAGAATGACCTTCTTGATCCAAACCAGTCAGGTTTCAGGACTGGTCATTCAACTGAGACTGCTCTTCTATGTGTCACGGAGGCTCTCCGCACTGCTAAAGCTAACTCTCTCTCCTCTGCTCTTGTCCTTCTAGACCTGTCTGCTGCCTTTGATACTGTGAACCATCAGATCCTCCTCTCCACCCTCTCCGAGCTGGGCATCTCCGGCGCGGCTCACTCCTGGATTGCGTCCTACCTGACCGGTCGCTCCTACCAAGTGGCGTGGCGAGAAGCTGTCTCCGCACCACGTGCTCTCACCACTGGTGCCCCCCAGGGCTCAGTTCTAGGCCCTCTCCTTTTCTCCCTATACACCAAGTCACTTGGCTCTGTCATATCCTCACATGGCCTCTCCTATCATTGCTATGCTGACGATACACAACTAATCTTCTCCTTTCCCCCTTCTGATAACCAGGTGGCGAATCGCATCTCTGCATGTCTGGCCGACATATCAGTATGGATGACGGATCACCACCTCAAGCTGAACCCTGGCAAGACGGAGCTGCTCTTCCTCCCGGGGAAGGACTGCCCGTTCCATGATCTCGCCATCACGGTTGACAACTCCGTTGTGTCCTCCTCCCAGAGTGCGAAGAGCCTTGGCGTGACCCTGGACAACACCCTGTCGTTCTCCGCTAACATCAAGGCGGTGACCCGATCCTGCAGGTTCATGCTCTACAACATTCGGAGAGTACGACCCTGCCTTACACAGGAAGCGGCACAGGTCCTAATCCAGGCACTTGTCATCTCCCGTCTGGATTACTGCAACTCACTGTTGGCTGGGCTCCCTGCCTGTGCCATTAAACCCCTACAACTCATCCAGAATGCCGCAGCCCGTCTGGTGTTCAACCTTCCCAAGTTCTCTCACGTCACCCCCCTCCTCCGCACACTCCACTGGCTTCCAGTTGAAGCTCGCATCCGTTACAAGACCATGGTGCTTGCCTATGGAGCAGTGAGGGGAACGGCACCTCCGTACCTTCAGGCTCTGATCAGTCCCTACACCCAAACGAGGGCATTGCGTTCATCCACCTCTGGCCTGCTGGCTCCCCTTCCTCTGCGGAAGCATAGTTCCCGCTCAGCCCAGTCAAAACTGTTCGCTGCTCTGGCACCCCAATGGTGGAACAAGCTCCCTCACGACGCCAGGACAGCGGAGTCACTCACCACCTTCCGGAGACATTTGAAACCCCACCTCTTTAAGGAATACCTGGGATAGGATGAAGTAATCCGCCTAGCCCCCCCCCCCCCCCCCCCCCCCCCCCAAAAAAAAAACAAATATAAAAAAAAAAAATTGTTGTAAAGTGGTTAACCCACTGGCTATAGGGTGAATGCACCAATTTGTAAGTCGCTCTGGATAAGAGCGTCTGCTAAATTACTTAAAAGTAAATGTAATTGTGTGCGTGTCTGGGTGTGTGCTGTGCAAATATATATGGTAGGTGAAAATGAAAGTGAAATCTCTTTGTGTCTGGGACTTTCCACTGTCTCTCCTCATGTCGTAACAATATACTGTGTAACAGTCTGACAGGCTCTGACAGTTTAACACTGCCTGCCTGTCTGTCCACAAGATGTCTGCTTCACCTGCTACCTACCACCCCATCAGACACTGAAGGGCCAGGAGCTAGGGGCCTACACCCTGCTGCTCCGCCATGGTAGGTACCTCTCACCATGCGCAGCCCCTGGGTTAGGAATGGGATTTCGGTTCCTAACCATGGGTTTGCATCTGCTCTCTGTCTGTCTCAATCAATCTCTCATAATTTCAATGTTTTGTTTTTCATGTATTGTATACATTTTCAGGACCCAGGACAAGGCGTTTATGGCTTCTACCGCCACTGTAAGTTTGCATATTTGCTTCAATTGAAAGTAACAGTAGAAAATGCAGATTTTATTCAATCTTTTGACCAACATGCTCCTCTTTTGAAGATAAGTTTTACCATTTCTTCTCAATTTGCTTTGGACTGGGTTGTGGAATGGCAGTCTACAGACCATATTACTGTGAGTAAACATAATTTACTATTCAAGTCAAGAATAACAATTACTCAGGTTTTCATCACTCAATATTGGCTGTTTTGTGTCTACAATCAGTGTCATTATCTTTCCAGCCATTATGATCCCGGCATTTCTGTCTGTGATTTCCACTCTTGTATTTGAATTTCTGGGCATGCTCTCTGGTAAGGTAAACTGTACTATAAATTATTGTGTTGGTTTATATTGTTATTTGAAGTGTTTAGTGTTTGTATGTAAAAACGTAACTATGAGGAATAATCCAATACCTTCCATTTTAAATCTGCCAGCATACTCTAAAAGATGCAAAGTCGTTTGTATATAGTCGTATAAATGAAAAGTTGTATGTATATAGTCGTATATATGAAAAGTTGTATGTATATAGTCGTATGTGTTTAGTCGAATGTGTGTAATAGCTTACCAATGAGAAATGGCAATATACTCCATCTCAGATCTGCCAGCTCACACTAAAAGATGCAAAGGCCCTCCCTATCATAGAAGAGGTATGTCATATAAAGTACTAACTCCCACACCCACCCCACAGTCCATACCAAATACAGAACTAGAGGAAGCCCAAACCTCTTATTTCATTCTCATAGTGCACTTCAACAAAACTATTGATGAAAGCAGTGATAAAGTAACTCGTTCCATTTCCTATGTCACGTCCTAAATGGCACCCTATTCCCTACTTTTGACAAGAGCCCTAGTGCACTATTTGCGACCAGGACCCATAGGGCTAAGGTGCCATTTGGGACACAGCCTGGTATCTTTAATAACCTCACAATATTTGTCTCTTCTCAGATGCCTTCTGGGGGTTATGTGCTGCTCTGCTTGTGGCTGTCTTAAACCTCTACTCATATCATGGTACAATTGATTATTCATTGAAGTAATTGTGTTGAATACAGTGTAATATGGTTGGAATACTGGAACAATTTGATACAAATGAAATAATGTTGAAATCACTCTATTGAATCTTATTGAGTGTTCATTATTCTTTCCCGTCAGTCTACACACTGTCTTATGGATGTGGAATCATGGTGTTTGCAGTTCGAGGAGCCAAGCGGAAATACAGCTCCCTATGGTAGGTAACTGACAACAGACCTACTGTGTATATAACACAGCTGTCTAGTACACAATGAAAGCTCTCCTAACTCATGTGAATTGACAGAGACGCTTGTGATACAGGATGTGAAACTGTGTTGCAGTTGTGGTAAAATTGACGTTAAACTGGGTGGTTCGAGCCCTGAATGCTGATTGGCTGAAAGCCGTGGTATATCAGACCGTATACCACAGGGATGACCCACATTTTTTTTGTACTGTTCTAATTATGCTGGTAACCAGTTTATAATAGCAATAAGGCACCTCTGGGGTTTGTGATATATGAACAATATACCACAGCTAATATGTCCACGTTGCATCGTCCCTAAGAACAGCCCTTAGCCGTGGTATATTGGCAATATACCACACCTCCTCAGGCCATACTGCTTAAATAGAGAATGCTAAATGGAACATATAGCCAACTGAACTTTTAATATCTATATTTACATTTTACATTTACACTTTAATCATTTATCCAAACTGACTTATAGTCAACTAAGTTTAGTAGGGAAACAATCACACATCAGTCATCCTGTCTAAATACTATCTAAGTCATCTAATTAACACTGTCAAATGTGATGCACTGTGTGTTTTGTCCAGGGATATAAGAGAAAGGTACTGACCCAGGTGGTGAAGCCATGCCATTGTCAACTGTAGAAGACTTAGTAGAATGGACAATGGCTTTTACTGTGCTACCTACAAGGTCACATTGCAGAGCTGCCATTAGACAAACAGATGTAAGGATCTGATCAAGTGGAAATTGTACAGAATTAAAAATGAAGAGAAACCTGCTGCAATTATAATCATATTCAAACTAACACTCTACAAAGATATTAAAGTTTGTATCTTATCGTTTTATCTATTTAGAATTGATTTAGGATTAATTATCTCTATGGTAAATTATAATGATCTTATTCATTTTAGTCTTCCTTCATTTTGTCATTATTCTAATAAAATGTTTTGCATAAGCAAATACTTACACCAATCTGCCTTTTCAATAGACACGCTATGATACATATGCATGCACACACAGTCTAAGAAACACACGAATACACTAGTGAACTCTCAAACTCAAATGCAGAGGGATTTAATAGATGAAAGTATAAGGTACATATAAAAGTTCAAGTAACAAATTAGGTGTTTGTTTTAGGTTCACAGTTCAGAAGTAACTGCATGCTCCCAACATCACCATGACCACAAGCACAGAGACACTCTCTAAGCCATGGCTGGGGTCAATTCCATTTCGATTTACATCCTGATATGACTAAATTGAAATGGAATTGACCCCAACCCTGCTGTAAGCTCTAGCTGGTCCTGTGTCCCTCTTCCTCACCTCCAGGTCAAACTGTTTGCTATAGTGAACACATTGCTCATAGAAACATTATTGGTATGTTCAGACAGCTCGTTTTAGCACACTGTTGGTTTGCTCTTCCAGGTAAAAGGCGTTAGTACGGAGTTAGATATGTGACAAAACCTTTAACCCGCAACATTCTGGCAGTTATCTGACTCCATATGTTTAACTAGTCTACACCGGAGTTGTAGAGATAAAAGGACATTTTAAACCAACATGTGTGGGCCTCCTGAGTGGCGCAGTGGTCTAAGGCACTGCATCTCAGTGCTAGAGGTGTCACTACAGACCCGGGGTCGATCCCAGGCTGTATCACAACCGGCCATGTGCGACGCACAATTGGCCCAGCGTCGTCTGGGTTAGAGGAGGGTTTGGCCGGGGGGGCTTTACTTGGCTCATCGCACTCTAGCGACTCATTGTGGCGGGCTGGATGCCTGCAGGCTGACCTCGTCGTCAGTTGAACAGTGTTTCCTCCGACACATTGGTGCGGCTGGCTTCAGGGTTAAGCAGGCGGGTGTTAAGAAGTGCGGTTTGGGGAGTTGCAGCGATGAGACAAGATTGAAATTGGGGAGAAAAAGAGGGTAAAATACAACATCAAAATAATCACATGTGCTAACACAAGCTGTCCAGTACAATTTGTGTGTGTTGTGGTATGGAGAAACATATGGGTCAAACTGTATGGACTTTTCACTTTACTGATATTTGTAGCCCACATACATTTCTATTTGATCATCTTTTTTTCTTTTTTTTCTTGGACAACGTTTTACAAACATTACATTTTCAGAGACGGTTGTCATGGAGACAACACTTACATTTCACTACCAACTGCCCCACCCTGTCTTTAGAGTTACATCATCAGAACAATATAAAAGTATTAAAATAAACTGCTGCTGGTTGTTTCTGGTTGAAAATATCAAATAGGAAGAGTTTAAAAACACATGAGCATCAAATAAAGGTACCTGCATTGAGTCACAACATGCATAGTCTTTATTGGATTGTATGGTTTGCAGAATGTCCATCTACACCTTCCAGCCGGGTTTGAGGATCATTGACGACCTCGCACTTTAATTTCTGAAGTTGACCCCTTGACCCTGGAATGACCCATGATTACTAGGAAGTGGGAGTGGGGTTGTGTGTGTGTGAGGGAAAAAAAGTGAAATGTGTGACTGTTACTTCAAAATGTACATACATCACGAACTCACGTTACTTTAGTAAACACATAGGGGGCGGGGCTTTCACAGTGAGGGGGCGGGTTTATCAGGCATGGGTGGTGTCATGTGACATGGAAAAATTTCTCTGTTTATCTCAGGGGTGGTAGAATGGGGGCTGGGCTGGGTGGGGCATAGCTTAGGCAGGAAGGGGTGGAGCTACTTGGCGTTGGCAGAGCCACTGAGCATCTTCCTGATGGCCAGGCAAATGGCTTCGCGGTCGATGCCGTAGATCTTGAGCAGCTCGCTGGGCTTGCCACTGCGGGGGACGTGGGCCACTGCCAGACGCTGCAGGGTGAAGCCCTGCTCATTTACCACCGCTGAGCACACTGCCTCCCCCAGGCCACCTGAGGAACAGCAACATTACATTAAATACATGAGAGAGAGAAGGCAAAGGAAACATCTCTGCAAAAGGGTTTGGGTCAATCCAATTTCATTGAAGTCAATTTGAAATGTCAGGTTCCTTCCTGAATTGAAATGGAATTGCGTCCAATCCTTCTCCCAGCTCTGAGACACTCCCTGGGAGTAATTTAGGATGACATTGAGCTCAGACATTGAGCTCAAACAGCTTTTTTCCCCTCTATTGTTAAAGCTTATGATTGCAGGATGATACGCTGATCCTAGATCTGTGCCTGGAGATGTCTACCTGAAGCCACTCATTGGTCTTGAGATCTTGAGGATGAAGCCATTGGTCTAAATCTGTCGCCATGCGCGCACACTCTCTCTCTCCATCTTTCCCCCCATAATCTCACCCTCTCATTCTCTCTCTTTTTTCTCTCCTGCTATCCCTACACTCTTTAAAAAAAGGTGCTATCTTGAACCTACATGGGTTCTTTGGTGGCCCCCATAGGAGAACCCTTTGCACAACTATTTTTGGTTCCAGGTAGAACCCTTTTTGGTCCCAGTTAGAACCATTTTGGGTTCCAGACCAAAACGGTTCTACCTGGAACCAAAAAGGGTTCTCTTGGGGGACAGCTGAATAACCCTTTTGGAACCCTTTTTTCTAAGAGTGCAGTCTCTTGCACCTTAGGGGTCAGAGAGGGGGATGCTACTGCTAGACATCAGGCTGATTTTGGATGCCACACATCTTAGGTCCAGTCTGTCCCCCCCCACTTTCCTCCTCTCCTCCAAACCTCACCTACACAGGCTGGGCTGGGCATGGGCATGGCTGTCTATGCTATGTAGGTCACAGAAGCCCCATCACCACACGCTCCACTAAGGAAATCTGACAGCACTCTGCCTCCCTGGCCTTCACGCACTCACGCACACACAGACACACACACAACACACACACAGTCTTCCTCCTCAGCAAACAAAATGCACCAGAACAGAATATATCTTGCCCACGCCCACTATGACAGCGCAAAACACGCTATGCCTCTCAAGCCAATGAGAACATGCCACCGCATCACGTCTCAGCCACTCTGAGCCAATGAGAGGACACAGTCTGCATAAATAAATAATGCCGAAAAATTACACGTTGCCAGGTTGCAATATATATGGCTAAAACTCTACAATGCAGCTAAATGACATAAATGTAGTATTGTGTACCGTATTCTGGTGTAGTGGAAAGACTCCTGACTCCGGACCAAGCATAACCCTGGCAACAGGGGTTTGAGCCCCATCCTATCTAGCCCCTCTGTGTCTATGTCTATCTCCGTCTCTTTCTTCCTGGTGTTTTAGCCAAAAATGATAAATACGTAAGGTTGGAACTCTGGTAGGGAAAAGCATACCTTCGTAGTAGTGGTCCTCCACGGTGAGGATCCGGCCCCTGGTCTGGCGGGCATGCTCAATGATGGTCTTGGAGTCCAGGGGTTTGATGGTGAACGGGTCGATCACCCTGATGAAGATCCTCTCTGGGAAAACAACAAGGTGGGAAACGTAGCGTTAATTAACAGTAGTGTATAGGGTTGCAAAATCCCCAAGTTTTCCAGAAATCCTGGTTGGAAGATTCCTGGAATCAGAAGGGAATAAGAACAAAATCCAGAATACTCCACCCAAGATTTATGGAGAATCTGGGAATTTTGGGAAAGTTTCTGTAATTTTGAAACCCCAAGTACTGTGTTTCAGTGGAAGAATGAGAACAAGATTCAAGCAGCTATACAGAGAATGGCATTAAAACCTTCAAACAATGAGGTTCAGATATAGAGAGGGATATAGCTTTATAAACAAGATACGCCTGAACATATAATTGAGAAAGGCCAACACTTACAGGATATAGATGTTGTGCGCCAACACTAATGAACTGATTGGATTCAATAGCAGCGCATTAAAGCATGTAGCCATTATTAGCGCATGCAGAAAAGAGAGAATGGCCCCAGCCAGGAATCATCATACCCCGATACAGTTCGGTCCTGGGTTCCAAATCTTTCTTCAAGTCTGGCTGTAGTTGTACTGTACCTTTCTTGAGCATCTCAGCTGCAGCCATGGCCTCATGCAGGGTGATCCCAGCTCCGATCACGGTCACCTTGTCCTCCGCGCTCTGGTACACCACCTGAGATGGACAGGGAAGAGTTAACAACAAGGTTCCAGCACATCTTATTAAGCATCTCATAAAGCTAGACTATTGGATGAGAGATTAATTGTTTATTCCACTAGAAGACAACCCTGTCTGTGTTAATCTGCAACCATTCAACCACCTGTACGGCATCCATAATAGGAACTCTTTCAGTTGTCAGACAATAGTTCCTCAGTGAGGGAGTTCCTAATATGGATGCTGTAGAACTAATTAAACTAATCATCTAACAAATCAGCTCATGTCCTGAAGTAGGAGGAAACGTAAGTGGTTTAGCCAAGGCTGTGATAGCCTGTTTGGTTAATGTAATGTGGAAAAGATTTCACCTTAGCCTGTCCAACATGGAAGTCCTCGTTGCTGCTGTAGATGATGGGGTTCTCGGGGCGGCTGGTTCTGATGTAGCAAACACCCTAAGAAAAGAGAACAGAATACTACGGTCATACATTTTAGGGTGTGAACACAAAGCCCATCCACTGGTGTTGGGGCAGGGGCGTAGGGAGATGGATCAATGTTGGAGGGCCAATAACATTTGGTGGGAGGGGATAAGAACCAATAACATTTTTGGGGTATGGGGATGAGGACAAATAGCATCTTGGTGGGCGGGATTATAAGTACCTTTGTGCTGGCGGCCAGCTCCACTGCCTTCTCAATAGACACACCATCGCTGGGGTAGAAGATGGTTGCCATGGGGATGGCCCTAAACATGGCCATGTCCTCTAGACCCATCTGAGACGGCCCTTCCTCTCCTGGAACACTCACATAGATTAATTTAATTCCAAAATGTTGTAACGTAGAAAGCAAATACTATTTGTTACCTTTTAATTACGTGAGATGCTCTTTTTTTTTTGATTTCCTGGCGCAAACCACATCCAGCCAAGACTCCAGGCAGGCTCAAGCAAACTTTCAAGATATTTGAAAGATTTCAAATACTATTTCAACCCAATATATAGCTAAAGGCCAGGTGGACTCACATGCAGGTGTATAAGACAGGCAGACAGGCAGACAGACAGACAGACAGGAATGCGGACAATAGGACAGACAGACAGTAGGACAGACAGACGGAGAGAGCGTGGCATGCAGTGTACCTGAGGGACAAACAGAGGAGAGGGACATCAGGTCCCCCAGTGAAGGTGACAGCGTCCAGGACAGACAGGGTCAGGGGTCAGGGAGGGGGAGGAGAGAGGGAGGCTGGGGACCTCAGGGGGTGAGGAGGAAAACACAGAAGTGGGGAAAAAGAAAGAGAGGAACTTGGATCAACCGGACAAGACGGACAGTCACATTGGGAAGTCAGTACCATTTGAGGGTGCGTTGACTTGAGGAGCCCATAGACAGTAGCCAATAGGCTCTTGTGGCTATTTGAGCATAATGTAAGCCTACCAACAAAACCAATGGAGCAAATCCCATAACATTTTCACATGGAAATAGCTTTTGATTTCTATGATATAGCCTACAGTCGCCTATGTGTGGTGTTCAAATGTTTTTACATTATGAAGGGCTTAACATCAATTATTTTTTACTTGGTCTGTAACACAATGGGCCAAATAGGTGACTGTAAATTGAATTGTATTGTGTTGTATGGTGCAAGAAACCACTTCACAAAATAGAATGTATTATTATTACTATACAGAGAATTAGACAATGTAGGTTGGCCCTCTGCATATTGGCTTATTTGCATATGAAAGCCTGTCTCAAAATACAACACTGCCCCTTTTTATTAAGATGTAAGCTTTTTACCTGACTGGCTTTTATAAAAGACAGCTTGAAATGTAGCCTACACGTTTTGTGCTCTTGTAGGAAGCAGTAAATCCCTATTGCTGACCTATACTTATCTATAACTGGGCTAATAACTCGCTAACTAGCAAAGAATATCAACAAATGTGCACACGCGCGGCTCTGCGCTGTGATCTGAACTGACACTGATCTGAAAAGCGCATTCACTTGCTGGTGATTGAAAGACCACTCCTGGGCTACCCCTGCCAATAGAATTCTACTCCGTTGCGCTCTGGCTCTCCCTACAACAAAATCACAGACTAAATCTTGCAAAGTCAGATTTGTTTTGGTTTGTTGCATTGAGAAGGGGCTGATATAATGTTGATTCGATCACAAAAAAAACGTTGATCTATAAAGTGAAAACTAATGATGCGAAGTTCAATCTCTTGCGTCTCTGCGCGCCTAGCATTTCTGGCAGTCTTGGAGGAGGTGCACGACCGCGCACACGGGCAGTTTAGAGGGAACATTGGTTGTGACTGAGGTGACAGAGATGGAAGAGGAAGCGAGACATCCAACTTGCTTTATTATAAATATGTTTTAGGTTAAATGAAAGTCAAATAACTAAGTAAACCAGACCCAGCTGCTATTGCATGGGATACACCCAGTTAAGTAGACCGGAACATAATAGATTTTTTCAATGGTAAATGGCTTGAGTGAACTATCTTAATTTATCCACTATCTTTGGTGACAGATTGCAGTGTATGGGGGGATGGTGTGTGGTGTTGGGAGTGGCGTGGAGTGGAGTGAGGATGTGAGGGGCGTGCCCGGGGTTTGTTTGGGGGAGGGTCAGACAGACTCACCGATGGACAGGCCGCAGTGGGAGCCACACAGGTTGATGTTGCTCTCTGAGATGGCAGCCATGCGGAGCTGGTCGTAGGCGCGGGTGAAGAAGGAGGCCAGGGTGCTGGCGTACACAACGTTCCTCTCACGGGCAGCGCAGCCAGTGGCAACACTCACCTAGAGGGAAAAGGGGAATAAAGGGGTTACATCACACTGTAACAGTGGCGGCTGGTGACTTTAGGGAGATTAGTTACTGAGAATAATGGATGAAAATTATTTTTATGAAGCTGATGGAAGGACAATATTTCATCTTCCAAGTCACTCTCTATCCATTTACAAGGGATGCGTCCCAAAAGGCACCCTATTCCCTATATAGTGCAGTTATATTTATGCGCCCTGGTTAAAAGCATTGCACTACAAAGGAAATAGGGTGCCATTTCAGATGCAGACATAGATTCAGGAGGACCATCCTCCTCTTCCTCCCTGAATAAGCCTCCTCTGGAGCTTGGCAGTAGATCTAGTCCCTATCTTTCCCCACAGGAACATGTAGTTCATCTCTATGCTGGTCCTGCACCTGCAGAGACATAGCTATGTAGGCTACTGTAATAAATCAGCTGCAGCTGAAGGTGAGCAGAACCACATAATTACATAGAACACTATTTATTGTATCTCTATGACTTATTTTTTGCCCGCGCTACAGACCGCTGTATAGGTCTGCTAATACAGGACTAGTAAAGGCCCAGTGCACTAGTTTTGTGAGAAAAACAATATATATCCAGTATATTGTCACGCCCTGACTCAGGGGACTCGTATATGTTGAGTCAGGGTGTGTATATTCTGTGTGTGTATATTCTTTGTTATGTAGTATTTTCTATGTGGGCATGCTAGTATGTGTAGATCTATGTTGGCTGGTGTGGTTCCCAATCAGAGGCAGCTGTCGCTCGTTGTCTCTGATTGGGGATCATACGTAGGCAGCCGATTGGCACTATTGAGTTGTGGGATCTTGTTCCGGTTAAGGTTTGTTGTGTGTCTACCTTAGGACTTCACGTTTCGTTTCGTTTATTGTTTTGTCGTGTGTTTATTAAGTTGAATAAACATGTACGCATATCACGCTGCGCCTTGGTCTGACCCGTCATTCAACGAACTTGACAGAAGATCCCACCAAACGAGGACCAAGCAGCGTGCCCAGAAGGAGCAAACGCCTGGGACTCAACGGGAGGTAACCTTAGTAGATGTCCTCCTCGGTTGGGGGAGAATTACTAAGGAGGAGGCCGTCCGTTATCGGGAGGCGATGAAGGTAGATGCCCAGGTAGGAGAGGAGAAACGGCGCCAACAGTGCCGATGACGGAGACCCGTGCCTGCTCCTCGCACCAGACCAGTGGTGTGTGTGTCCAGTCCAGCACGGCCCGTTCCCGCTCCACCGGTGCCTGATCCAGCTCCGGTCAGCTGCTCCACTCCGGAGCCAGAGCAGTCCGCTCCACCGGTGTCTAGTCCAGCTCCGGTCAGCGGCTCCAGTCCAGACCATGACGTCAGCCCCTCTCCAGGTTCGGGGTCTCCCACACCAGGGTCCAGACAGGGCCTGGCGTATCGTGGGAGGAAGGAGAGGGGAAGCAGCGCGCCGATGTCCTGACCAGACCAGGGGTGCAACAGGGAGGCGGAGAGTAAGAGGTCGTCACGCCCGGAGGCGGATTCAACGAATGTGACATATATACACTGAACCAAAATATAAACGCAACATGCAACAATTTCAACGATTTTACTGAGTTACAGTTCATATAAGGAAATCAGTCAATTTAAATAAATTCATTAGGCCCTAATGTATGGATTTCACATGACTGGGCAGGGGCACAGCCATGGGTGGGCCTGGCTCCCAAGTGGGTGGGCCTATGCCCTCCCAGGCCCACCCATGGCTGTGCCCCTGCCCTGTCTCCCACCCAACCCACTGGGGAGCCAGGCCCAACCAATCAGTGTACATTTTTCACCACAAAAGGGCTTTATTACAGATAAAAATACTCCTCAGTTTCATCATTTGTCTGGGTGGCTGGTCTCAGATGATCCCACAGGTGAAGAAGCCGGATGTGGAGGTCCTGGGCTGTGATCTGCGGTTGTGCGGCCAGTTGGACGTACTGCCAAATTCTCAAAAATGCCGTTGGAGGCGGCTTATGGTAGAGATAATTAATAGCTTCACCATGCTCAAAAGGATTTTCAATGTTAGCTTTTTTAATTTTTACCTATCTACCAATAGGTGCCCTATTTTGCGAGGCATTGGAAAACCCCCCTGGTCTTTGTGGTTGAATCTGTGTTTGAAATTCACTGTTTGACTGAGGGACCTTACAGATAATTGTATGTGTGGGGTACAGGGATGAGGTCATTCAAAAATAATGTTAACACTACTATTGCACACAGAGTGTGTCCATGCAACTTATTATGTGACTTGTTAAGCATATTTTTACTCCTGAACTATTTAAACTTGCCATAACAAAGGGTTTGAATACTTATTGACTCAAGACATTTCAGCTTTTCATTTTTAAGTAATTAGTAAACATTTTGAAAAATGAATTCAACATTTACATAATGGGGTATTGTGTGTAGGCCAGTGACCAAAAAATCTACATTTAATCCATTTTAAATTCAGCCTGTAACACAACAAAATGTGGAAAAAGTCAAGGGGTGTGAATACTTTCTGAAGGCACTGTATATCTTATCAAAAGTGCAATGTGACTGCAAAAGAGACAGGTTGAAATGTCAATTCTCATCAAACAAATGGGAAATATGATTGAAATACGGGACAATCTACCTTGTTTTGTAAATTAGTAGTGTTTTAATATGTTAATAAAATGCGGACATGTGGTCACTCTAGACTGGAAAATACAAAGGGTCAAGTGAGGTCTCCATGGGGACAATGACTGCTGAGCCAATCACAATCAAAAGGAGGGATCACGCCTCCCAGAAACCCAGACCCATGTTATGTAAAAGTCAGTGAGAAGTCCGTCAGTCCAAAAGCACACAAGTTTATGGTACCATATGAGAGGAATCAGCGGCGTGCTTCTCTCTCACAAGTTGTCATTTCCTGTTTCCTATCTCGAAAACTCTCCCCGATCCCCATGTTATTCACTTCACTGTGGACATAGGAGAGATGGACTCATTCCTATTCCATATCAGTCCCAGACAGAAGTACTATTATCCCATTTCCTGGACAAAGAGGAGAGCACTCTTTCCATTGACATGATCATTATTCTCTTTCTTTGTGATTGTTTGAACCGCAGATTGCCCCTTTAATACAGTATTCACAAACACATGACTCCAATGATGACATAAATAACTGATAATCAACGAGGGGCTATGCGTTCTATGGAAAATAATAAACAACGTGGAACTGACCTTCCACAGAGTTGAATTTGTTCAACATCCACTGAATTAGGTAGCAAGTTTACTAGATAGCTACAGTAGTTGCCTTGGTAACCAAACAGACTTGCTAGTTTAACTAACCAAACCATCAGTCCTAGCTTGCTATTATGAAAATCTAATTCAACAATGCCAATAACGTTTTCAATTCGACTTTTGCTTTCAAAAGCAGCTCAAACGTAGAACATGTAAGAATTAACTATAGCCATTGAATTCTACCGTGCTGATACACCATGCATTATTTAAGCAATAAGGCCTGTGGAATATGGCCAATATACCACGGTTAAGGGCTGTTCTTAAGCACGACGCAACGCGGAGTGCCTGGATACAGCCCTTAGCCGTGGTATATTTGCCATATACCACAAACCCCCAAGGTGCCTTTTTGCTATTATAAACTGGTTACCAACGTAATTAGAGCATTAAAAATATATATTTTGTCATAGCAGTGGTATACGGTCTGATATACCACGGCTGTCAGCCAATCAACATGCAGAGCTCGAACCACCCAGTTTATAAAGGGAAATAATGCACGCTCTAGAATACCCTTCAAGCCAATCAGAAACAAGTATTCAACAATGCCATACATAATGCAGTCATAAATAAGTAATAAAATGAACAGCAGTGCCGCTGATATTCTCATGATTCTCTTATCAATATTAATGATTCCCCATTAGACAATCTGTCTGTCTCATTTGAACCTGCCATTCTAGCTTTATTCTGCACAATCATCTTTATAACGATGGTATATCAGCCAGCAAGCCAGCTAGTCAGTCAGCCAGTGAGCCAGTCAGTAAATCAGCCAGGCAGTCAGCCATCCATCCAGTCAGTCAGTCAGTCATTCATTCAGTTAGCCAGTCAGACAGCCAGTCAGCCAGTCATTCAGGCAGCCAGTCAGCCAGTCAGCCATCCATCCATCCATCCGGTCAGTCAGTCAATCAGTCAGTCAGTCACCCAACCAGTCAGTAAGACAATCAGATCAGCCAGACGGCCACACCCTCCCTCCTCTCACTGATGAATATTTAACCTCTCAGCTCAGCATAACTGTCATAACGGCTACTCATCAAACACAGCCCTGACCTACATCTGAACAGGCTGATAGGCTTCTGCTGCAGGAGGAACCAGCCAAACAGCAGCTGGACAGTAATACAGCCAGGCCTGAATGACTAACTCTCCTAAAGTGTTAATCTAAGGGCAGATTGCAATGAGAGGATAGGAATAGAGGCTAGGTAGCCTAGCGGTTAGAGTGTTGGGCCTGTACCTGAAAGGTCGCTGGTTTGAATCCTCGAGCCGACAAGATGACAAACCAGCCAGCTGTGCGGAGGGAGGGAGCATGGTGGATGGAGGAAGCGTGGTGAGGCAGCGGAGGTAGCATGTTGGAGAGAGTATGGCTGGAGGGAGGACGCATGGCATGGTGTACTGTAAGTGGGTCATGTCTCTGCCTTTCTCTCCAGCGTTACATTATGGATGGACCTACATGCATTATTCACCAGACCAACCTCTGTAACACTGAGAGAGCTACACGTTTTTATTCAGGCAATCAGACCTGAGAGAGAGGGAATTCGCTCAGCGAGTCAGTGGTCTGAACAGAAGTAGAGAGGCATTTTGTTATAGCGAATCAGCATCAGCAAAATTAGTGACAGGCAGATCACGGGTTCAAATACTATTTGAGATCACTTCAAATACTTTATCTGTGCTTGATTGAGCTTGTCTGGCTTAATGGACCAATAGACTAGTCCAGAAACTGTAAAGCCCTGCCATTTGGCACTTCAAACAGGCAATAGCAAACGCTCAAAGTATCTGAAAGATTTCAAATAGTATTTCAACCCAGGTCTAGGGACAGGGCATTCGGTTGAGCATCAGCGAGAGAGACATCGGCAGAGGAGAGAGGACAGCTAAGCTGAGCCACACACTGTATATATATTTTCTGTTGTATTTTTGACTTTATGTTTTGTTTACCCCATATGTAACTCTGTGTTGTTGTTTTTATCGCACTGCTTTGCTTTATCTTGGCCAGGTCGCAGTTGTAAATGAGAACTTGTTCTCAACTGGCTTACCTGGTTAAATAAAGGTTAAATAAAAAAAATAAAAAAAATAAAAAATGCTGCTGCAATTATTAGTTATTAGAGTTATTATTTTAATCTGAGTACATATCTATATTGCTGAATATATTTGTTTTTTTTACAAAAAGTATAATTTAGAGGTCATTTTAAAACAGGTCGGATTTTAAAAGCTTGGTTTAATTAGAGAGAGTGTTTGTCTGGGTTTATAGAGTGGTCATAATTGGTTTATAGAGTGGTCATTCCTGATCCTAACTACATATATGTGATCAGGAAAAACTCAATAGGGTTAGGGTCAGAGTAAGGGTTAAGGTTAGGGTTAGGGTTCATTTCATACCATGTTCTGCTGCGCGATGTAGCACTCCACAAAGCGGTCGGGGTGTTCGTTCTTGAAGATCTCTGAGTAAGTGAAGTTGTTGGTGTCTCCATCCAGGACCACCACACGCTCATTATAACGACCCAATTTAGCCAGGGCCATGCCATAGGCCTTCCTGGTGGAAATCTGTAGAGAAATACAACCAGTCAATCAATAAATCAATAAATCAATGAATCAATGAATCAATCAACCAGTCAGTAATTATTAAGTCAATACTTCTGCCTGTGTATTCATGTATCATTATACCACCTTCTCTGTGACAGTAGTCAATCTAAGGTGTGAGTGACTGCTTCTATTATGATATATTGTTTGTGACTATTGGGTGAGCCCCAGTCCCAGTGGAGTCAATTATCCTGGGATAATAGTCCAACCACAGATGTACAGTATATGGTGAGAGGTATGTACTTTATGTTACCTTCTCTCCCTGCTTGTAGGCGGGTGCGCTGGGCATGCGGACGTTGCGCAGACTGACTGGCGGGGCATCCTCTATGGGCGTGGTGGGGTAGAGGCGCTTGCTGCTGTTCATGATGCGCGTCTGCAGATCCTTCACGACTCCCTCAGCCATGTCCTTGGGCAGGGGCTTGGCATGCCAGCCCATCTTATCCTCCACAGCTGGTAAATGCAGACAAACATAATGCTAGAATACACATATGCTGTATACACAGCAACATTTTAATGGATACATAGGCCCAGGGGTTTTAGCCTGACGACGTGACCTCCTGACGAGGAAAAACCCCAGACCTGGAGTCAGGTTACATGGTCAGGAAAAATCAATGGCCCAAGACTTTATATACTTTACACACCATACCGAGAGGTTAGCCCATCAACAAGAATGAGTGATAGGATGTAGCCAATAGCCATATGAGGGTGAGAGTACCTGGGATTCCCTTGCCCTTGGTGGTCTTGGCGATGATGGCAGTAGGCTGGTGACGAGCCTGGCTCAGAGCCTTACACAGCTCCTCCACACTGTGCCCGTCCACGATGATGGCATGCCAACTGTAGACAGCAACACACACGTCAGAAAACCCATTTCACATATGGAAACGCATTTACACACTTTCGCTTCCTCATACACACGAACAGAAAATGCCACATATGCCCACTAATGTTGACATGTGCCTTCACACATTCATAGACTCTCTCTCGCTCCCTTCACATTGACAAAGATGATCTCTCTCCCTCTTACTCACTCTGTCCTTCTCACTCGTAAACCCACTTCCACACACTTCCAAACTCACACACACACACACACACACACACACACACACACACACACACACACACACACACACACACACACTCACATACACAAACGTAACCCCACTTTCACACATACTCACCCAAAGGCCTCGCAGCGTTTCTGGTACTTATCCACGTGGTTCTGCAGGGGCGCTGGGTCGTTCTGGCCCAGGCGGTTGATATCTAAGATGGCCACCAGGTTGTCCAGCTGGTAGTAGGAAGCAAAGGACATGGCTTCCCACACTGCCCCCTCAGACAGCTCCCCATCCCCCAAAAGGCAGAACACATGGTAGCTGGGCAGGAGAGATGGATGGGGGGGTGAGACAGGGGTGTGTGTGTGTGTGTGTGTGTGTGTGTGTGTGTGTGTGTGTGTGTGTGTGTGTGTGTGTGTGTGTGTGTGTGTGTATACACTCTTATAATGTTTTTTTTCCAAAATAGTTATTCAGTTGTCCCCATAGGAGAACCCTTTTTGGTTCCAGGTATAACCATTATGGGTTTCATGTAGAACCATTTTGGGTTCCTTGTAGAACCCTCTGTGGAAAAGGTTCTACATGGAACCGAAAAGGGTTCTTCAACGGGTTCTCCTATGGGGACAGACAAAGGACCCTTTTAGGTTCTAGACAGCACCTTTTTTTCAAAGCGTGTAGAATCAAGAAGTGGTAAGATCAAATGATCATTCTACCCGACACCAAATAGTGCTCTCTGACACCTTTCCAGACAGATTCGTCCATTTCCCCTAATGTGACAGAATGGATTGAAAGCCCACTGGGAATTGTGAAAGCCCTCTCCCACAACTGGATATTGAAAAAAGCTTGCCATCATGGTAACCTTCACACCTCCCTCTATCACACTTACTGTTTTCCCTCACATCTACGCTGACTAGCCTCACAGACTCCTTTGAACAAAGCAAACGCTAATCTTTTAATCAAATGGCCTGATAATCTGTTTATGTCATCAGTTTCAACCACCACCCACACAAAATCCTCCTCTAGTACAAATCTATCCAGGGCAGGGCACATTTTCAGGACTGGCAATATCCGCATTCCACATATCAGAGAATCGCAGTCCTCATTCTGAGACAAAACCTGAATTAGACTGGGGAATGTGAGTGTGATTTTGAACAATAGACTGAGTGATGAATACTAATGTGAAGTCTGAATTGGATTCTGAGACAGAATCTGTCTGGATGGTAAAAATAACTGAGTTGTGGCTGCCGGGGCTGTGGTTATTAGAGCAGAAGAATCGGAAGAGCAGAGCATGCTGATACTGCACAACCAGAGGACCTTAGAAAACCTCACAGTGCACTAAAGAGCCCTGAACTACCTCACTATGCTCTAAAGAGCTCTAAAATACCTCACTATGCTCTAAAGAGCTCTAAAATACCTCACTACGCCCTAAAGAGCTCTAAAATACCTCACTACGCCCTAAAGAGCTCTAAAATACCTCACTATGCTCTATAGAGCTCTAAAATACCTCACAGTGTACTAAAGAGCTCTAAAATACCTCACTATGCTCTAAATAGCTCTATCATACCTCACTACACTCTAAAGAGCTCTAAAATACCTCACTACGCCCTAAAGAGCTCTAAAATACCTCACTATGCTCTATAGAGCTCTAAAATACCTCACATTGTACTAAAGAGCTCTAAAATACCTCACTATGCTCTAAAGAGCTCTAAAATACCTCATTATGCTCTAAATAATTATAGAATACCTCACTATGCATTTGAGTCCACACTTAACACTTTAGAATGCAGAGGCCTGCAAAGACTAAACATCTGGGTGTGCATTTGTGTGAACTCTTACCTGGACTTGTCAAAGTACTTCCCGGTGTAGGCCATCCCACAGGCTACGCCCAGGCCCTGGCCCAGAGAGCCAGTGACCACATCCACAAACTGCTGCTTCTGAAACTCCAACACATACACAGGAACAGGACTGTTACTATCACCATAGAGAGCAAGGGTGTGTTCAGTAGGTTGTAAAACTTGTAGCTATTATTATAAGTTACAAGGTATCAAAATTCAGTGAGGTACTACCTGAACATGTCCAAGAAGAACACACATTTCCATTTTCAGTTTTGCTACGGTGTGTCCTACTGAATACGACCCAGGTTTAGGGTTGTTGTGTGGTCATATCTGTCTGGTCCTAATTGAGGTTAACTGTTAGGCTATTAATGGTGAGGTGTAGGTTAACTGTTAGGCTATTAATGGTGAGGTGTAGGTTAACTGTTTGGCTATTAAAGGTGATGTTTAGTAGTTATCACTCACAGGTGTGGGGTGTCCCTCCAGGTTGGGCTCCACCTGGCACAGAGAGAGCAGCTCACTCTCCTTCAGGAAACCAGTCTCTGTCCACATGGAGTACAGGGCCGGGGCAGAATGACCCTGAGGAGAGGAAAAACCATGTTACTCTAGTACAACCCAAAACATAACCACATAACTATTTCACAACCACGAAGTGTAAAATACATTGTTTCTTATGACTGTAGCCATATCATATAACAATTGTACACCAGCTGTAACACAAGTGTATTACATAAGTCAATATACACTACCAGTCAAAAGTTTGGACACACCTGCGGTCATATGACCTTTCTCCAACCAAAACAGTGGAGGTGAGCTGGAGGATCTCACAATATGGAGATGCAATAGAAAGCAATATTAGTGTTCTATTTACTTCCAATAGTCTCACCTTAGAAAGGATGAAGCGGTCATTGTTGATGTTCTTGGGGTCCTCTGGGCGGTACTTCATTGTGTTGAAGAACAGGACAGACATGATCTCTGCAATGCTGCAGCATGATGTGGGGTATCTGGGAGACAAGGAGTACACTCTTAGGAAAAAGGGTTCCAAAAGGGTTCTTTGGCTGTCCCCAATAAGATAACCCTTTTTGGTTCCAGGTAGAACCATTTTGGGTTCCATGTAGAACCCTGGGATTCTACATGGAACACAAAAGAGTTCTACCTGGAACCAAAAGGGTTATTCAAAGGGTTCTCCTATTGGACAGTAGAATAACGGTTTTAAGTTATGTATAGCACATTTTTTCTAAGAGTGTAGGAGCAGGGAGGGATGTTACTGACAGGTGTTCACATCACAGACAGAAACATAGACACACATGCTCACACACACACACACACACACACACACACACACACACACACACACACACACACACACACACACACACACACACACACACACAGAACAGAAATATCACTTTACAAACTCATAAACACAGAATTCTAACTGGATTTTAAGTGGCACAGTCTAAAGTCTGAGCTTGCCAATGAATTCTAATGGCACAATGGGGAAAGATGGGTAATAATAATTAGAGTGGATTAGTCTATCCAAAACACTGATGAGGGGGCCATGCTCAAACTGAGATGCCCCATTGGCTCCCTCTGTATCCCAATTACAGTGATGTCAACATCCCAGGGGTAAGCTGATGGGAGGCTGGGGAGAGATGGGGACCATTTTGGCATGTGCGTGCAGAGTCAGACAGTAAGTCAGAAGGTGCCATTTGGAGTCACATTCATCACCCGGTTTATAACCTTGTGGTCGTCACTAGTTACCACAGCCACAAAGTCATTTCTACAATTTATCTTCTGAAAATGTGAGTTTAACCCTAACCTTAACCCTAACCTTAACCACACTGCTAACCTTATGCCTAACCCTAACCTTAAAATAAGCAGATTTACCCCATAAATTCTTAATATAGCAAATGTTGAGTTTGTGTCTGTGCTATCTAGTGGAAACCCTTATAACCTTTAGCTCCTATTTCCAGTCGGCGATTTATGTAAAATAGCCACCTAGGCCTAATCTAAAAATCTTCTGTTGAGCGAACAAATGCTCTAAAAACGCAACAAAGCTCAGAAATGCTGGCAAATAGCCTAGCCTAACCTCACAAAAAAACACACTTCAATTTTTCCCATAATGAAATTGGTAGAGGGGTTTTCCCCCAAGCACCAACCGCATGGCCGTTGCTTATTGTCTAGGCTATGTGCGCCCTTGGTCTATTTGTGGATGATTTGTGGATAGGCTGCGGTCGAAGGATGGAGCCATGATGGAATGAATGGATGCTGGAGTTTGAGTTTGAGCAATAGATGATGATTGATAACCTTTCTCAAATAAACGTGTGATTTCTCCACAAAAATCACAATTAAATGTGTTCTTTACAGAATTAGAAAACGTGCGCACTTGTTTGCGCACGGGCTCTATATTTAATACAATAATAATTATCTAGCTTAATAATACACTTCAATTGGGTGTTCACACTAAGATGAATTGCGGAGTAATTATTTATAATATTTAATGATAAATATCCCCCCCCCCCCCATCTAAATCAACGAAGATGGCGGAGCGCACATCCCATTCGGGGTTATCTCCATGCGCTTTGTCCAGTGCCAACAACTGACGCGCAAGCTCCGAGGGCTCCTCCATCGATTACCCGCGGTCAGACAGATGAAGACGCGTTATACTTTTCCCCAGATGCAGGAGTTCATTTCAGACACTACAGCAAAATGTTGATGTTGTTCACAATGGAACATTTTCTAATATCGAAAAAAACGAAAGAATCTCATGTTGAGCCACAATGGTCATAAATCAATAGAAATAAACAAAAGAATCCGCAAATTGTTCAAGAATACAGTGTTCTGCAATTGAACGATATAAACAGATTAACTAACTATAAGCTACTGTATGTCTACATAAAAATCAGTACATACAGATATTGACGAAAATATTAACTTTTCATGTTATTGTTATGGTAACATCTATGTCATTTTGATCTCCATCACATCTGTGCAGTGACTCCCAGCATCATAGGGTAACATGGGGGTAACTACACCCCCTTAAGAACAATGTCCCATTGCTGACACAAAAAGCAAAGTTTGGTAAAAAAAAAAAAAAGTGGTATGTGGATGATGGTCATTCTTAGGCGAACAAACTATGAAGGAAATAAGCAGCTACAGTCCACCCCAGGGGGCTAGTTACCCCACGTTACCCTACATTTAATATTCAGCTCAGTTTAATTTTTCCATAGCTCACATGAGAACAAAAATAAAACATACTGTTTCATTTGTATTTTGCATGGATGTGCATGTGCACCTGTGTGTATGAATGAGTCTTAATACACTCTTCCCTAGATTTACGACTGTGTGTATGATTGAGTAAAAGGGTCTTACCCGCTGCCGGCTGCAGTGGTAGCCTTGATGCAGTTGATTCGGAGGCGGTTGGCGATGTTCCTGAGTGCCTGAACCGTCTGCTGGTCGGGTTTGTGGTAGTCCTCCATGAAGGCAAAATGTCTAAGCACCAAAAGCACCAAGAAAGTGAACTAGACTGTACAGAGGCTGGGCTGTGTGTGTGTGAGCGAGGGTTGGCTGAGGGAGCCCTGCTTGTGTGTATGAGTGGCAGAGAGAAGAGGTGGAGAAAGGAGGAGAGGCAGGATTTATCCCTGGCACACGTACACAGGAGGAGGAGGAGGAGGTCAAGTGGCACTCTATGCTGGTTAGGACAGGACCGTGCATGGGTGTGTGAGGAGGGGGGTGTGTTAGGGGGTGTGTGTTAGAAAGTGGTGTGTGTGTCTGAGAAAGAGAGAAAGAGAGAGAGCGGGAGAGAGAGAGAGATACTTTTTAACCCTATATTGGCAGAGAGAGAGCGGGAGAAAGAAAGCGTGTGCGAGAGAGTGAGTGCTGTTTTGGGAGGGAGGGGTGTTGGAGGTCAGGTGAGGGGGTTACAGAGGATGTTAAACCATGAGCTACTCCTCAACACATCCATGCAGCAAAATCTCATGGAACTAATGACCAAATCATCTGGACAGTGCCAGTAACCTTCTCTATCAGAATATCCAGTGTGTTTGTAGTCAAAGCAGGAGTGATGCAGTAGTACCAGGTTTCAGCTGTGGAGAATCTCTGCCTCATTATTTACTATGGACCTAATTAGGATATGTCAATTAAACTCTTCATTGTTGAGGAAGAGCTTGTAAGTAGGCATTTCACTGTAGTGATTGTTTACACCAGTTGTTGTTTTTCTACAGGACTTCACAAACAACACAACACAAAAACAGAACGTCAACTATACAAAATATTCTTTAAGGTGATTCCAAAGTCTGTCAAAAATGTCCGGTTTTTGTTTCATTTTATAATATACTAAATACATCTAAAGGGACATAATTAGATAGTTCAGTCATCCAGTTTGTTATTGAGGGTGAATATGAGGCTTTCCTGATCACCAATATTTACATTTCCCAACAGACATAATTGTGGAGATGGATGGATGTAAATTCCTAGACACAATAAAATGATAGCACATACATTATCTCAAAATTGTGTCAGTTTATCACAGGACAACAGCATATGTAATAGGATTCCTTTGTGCTTTTTGCATTGCCAACAGAGATGTGACATTTCTGGGTGCATTACATGCATTCTGTCAGTCCTATGAATTATCTTAAATTGCAGTAGTTTATGTCTTATGTCGTAGGAGCAGGTATGAGCATTTTCACATATCTGTGACCAATGGTTCGCCTCAATTTGTTCCTTTAGATTTGTTTCCCATTTTTTCCTTATAGGTTCTGAACCATCAGGGCGGTTTCAATCAACCCTTGATATAACTTGGCAATCAACTTCTTAGGTGTAGCAGCTTCATTCAGTATTTTTTCTATGCTAGATGCCTAAGGCATCCAGATTATGTTGAAGTTATTGAATAACATTTCTGAGTTGTAAGAACTTAAAGAAATCGGCTTTGGATAATCCAAAGCTTTCTTGTAATTGATTGAATGACAGTAGAGCGCCATTACAGCACATGTTCTAAATTCATGATGCCACTTTGGAGCCAGGACTTAAAGGTGTTGTCATTAAACACTGGAGGTAAGGTGGGGTTATTCCAAATAGAGGTGCCTGGAGATAATGCTTCTTTACACCTCATTAATTTATGTAAATTTTCCCAAACACGAATGGAATTGAGAATAATTGGATTGTCTGTTTTTCTCTTCAGCGCCTTGGACGCAAAGTAGTGAATCTATTTCATGAGGTATTACATTTATGGCTTCGATACTCCTCCATACAGAAGGATAGCTTGCTGTCCAGTGTTTAAGTGAACGCAGTTGTGCATCCGAGTAATGCATCTTTGTCAGGATCGTTTAAAGACTGGTCGAACCAAGGCGCAGCGTGATAAGCGTATATGTTTATTAAACGAATAAACACACGACAAAACAACAAACGATACGTGACGTCTTAAGGTACACACAACAAACCTATACGGAACAAGATCCCACAACTAACAGGTGCCAAAAGGCTGCCTAAGTATGGACCCCAATCAGAGACAACGAGCGACAGCTGCCTCTGATTGGGAACCACCCCGGCCAACATAGAAATAGACATACCAGATTCTACACCATAGAAACAACACAACACGGAATATACACACCCTGACTCAACAAATAAACGTCCCCTGAGTCAGGGCGTGACAGTACCCCCCCCCCCCCAAAGGTGCGGACTCCAACCGCGCCACATACACATAACAGGGTAGGGGCCGGGTGGGCATTCCGCCTCGGAGGCGGATCCGGCTCCGGGCGTGACCACCACTTTCTCTCTACCTCCCTGTTGCGCCCCTGGTTTGGTCTGGACCTCGGCGCGCTGCTTCCCCTCCCACGAAGTACCAAGCCCTGTCTGGACCCTGGTGTGGGAGACCCCGAACCTGGAGAGGGGCTGACGTCTGGGTCTGGACTGGAACCGCTGACTGGAGCTGGACCCGAC